AAAGGCTTTTCATATATATACAGGTTGAGTCTCTCTTATCTGGAAATTCAAAGTCCGAAATACTCCAAAATCATCCACATGGGTGGCTGAGATAATGACATCTTTGCTTTCTGATGATTCAATGTACACAAGCTTTGTTTTATGCACAAATTATTAAAAAATATTGCATATAAAATTACCTTCAGGCTATATGTTTAAGGTGTATATGAAACATAAATTAATTTTCTGTTTAGATTTGCATCCCGTCTCCAAGATCTCTAATTATGCATATGCAAATATTCCAGAATCTGAAAAAATCCGAAATCCAAAACACTTCAGGTCCCAAACATTTTGGATAAGGGAGATCCAACCTCCCTCCCATTCTCCTTCTCCTCTCTTTATTTATTTATTTGGTAGTGTGTAAAGAAGGATTTCTGGTCATGGTGACTGTTGGTACCTGGCAAGATCATCTTGATTTAGCAGAAGCTGACTGATGGTGGTTGGCTATTGGAGAGAAATTTCTGAAGCAATGGCCTTGTCTGTTTCCATTTAATTCAGAAATTTTTTGTTGAGACCTGGCTTTCATTGAGATCTAAATTGAAACAGACCTTTGCAGACGTGATTGGCTTTTGGTGGCCTCAATGTATTTGACAGTCTTACCTTATTTGGAAAAGTGGGACAGTTATAGCAGTAACAGACAAAAGTTTCCCCAAAGAACATAAGAAGTGGGCTGAATCAGATCAATGCCCTACCTAGTCCAGCACTGTTTAATTGTTTGTTTGTTTGTTTGTTTGTTTAATCCATCTTGGGACACAAGGTGACTTACAACAAATTCAGTACAGTTTACAAGAAATAGCCATCTTGTTCCTGTAGTGAGAATAGCAAGACATTAAAGTGAAATTGACTCCTGAGAGAAGATAGAGGCTATTTCCTTCATTGATACCTATGGCTTGAATCTTATTGGTTAATGGGCCCATGGAATCCATTGTGGTGAACTGACATAGAGGTAGATCCCATTGTTTCAGTGGGTCTACTCTAGTGGGTACTAACATAGGAGTTAGTCTGGGAGCTATGTAAGTAATTTGTTCTGAATGAAATGGTACTTATGAAGAAGACGGTGTATAGCTTGGGTGAGTGTCCTCCTGGTTCCATCATATAACCAGTGGTCTAGATAAACTCAGTGACATGGTGTGTGTAGAGTCATAGAATCATAGAGTTGGAAGAGACCACAAGGGCCATCCAGTCCAACCCACTGCCATGCAGGAACTCAAAATCAAAGCATCCCCGACAGATGGCTAAGCTAGCTCCCTCCTCAATATGACATCCCTTCTCATATTTAAACAGAGCTATCATATCATCTCTTAACCATCTCTTCTCCAGGTTAAACATATCCAGTTCCCTAAATCATTCCTCATAGGGCATGGTTTCTAGGCCCTTCACCATTTTAGTTGCCCTCTTTTGGACACGCTCCAGTTTTTCAATATCCTTTTTGAATTGTGGTGCCCAGAACTGGAGACAGTATTCCAGGTGGGGCCTGACAAAACAGAATAAATGGCACTACTACTTCCCTTGGTCTGGACACTATACTTATGTTGATGTAGCCTAGAATTGCATTGGCCTTTTCAGCTGCCACATCACACTGTTGACTCATGTTTAACTTGTGGTCCACTAGGACTCCTAGATCCCTTTCACACGTAGTTGCGTTAAGCCAGGTATCCCCCATCTTATATCTATGAATTTCATTTTTTTGTCCTAAGTGCAGTACCTTACATTTTTCCGTGTTGAAATTCATTTTGTTAGCTTTGGCCCAGCTTTCTAAGCTATTCAGGTCATTTTGAATATTCATCCTGTCTTCTGGGGTATTTGGTATTCCTCCTAATTTGATGTCATCTGCAAATTTGAGAAGCATGCCCCCTATTCCTGCATCCAAATAATTGATAAAGATGTTGAATAGCATTGGGCCCAGGACAGAACCCTGT